GACAACCTTATCCAAAAGTTGATTCATACATGCATAAAATGGTTGCACATGGAACAACAGGTTGAAAACGAAAAATTACTTTAAAATCAGTGTTTAAGTACAAAGCTATGATTTTTTGACAGGCATGTGTTCTACTCATATGAAGATGCGTGTTTTCAACAAGTTCCATGACAAAAACGAAAAACAAGATTGACTTCTTTCTGTGTCTATGCTATACTATCCCAGATTCAAATATTATTGCCAAAACTCTAGAGTCAGCTACTAAACAGAAAGGAAGGAACGGGACTTAAAACTACCGAGGGCTCTACCCAATTCCTGGCCACTTCATCTTCAAACTGCCTTTTAACTTAACGGCTTTTACTATCCTACAAGCTAAGCAGAGCATAAATGTATAAAAAATTGTGATAAAACTGAAAAAAAAGGAAACATCTGGATGGAACGTGCTAGCTGATCGACGAAATGCGGGTAACTTCGAACGCCGCGGATTTGCCGCGCTCGTCTAGCTCAACTGGTCCAAGAACGAAACCTTTGGCATATCGCCAGCTCAAAGATCACTTGAAAGTACTGTAGTTTTCAACTTCTGAAAAATCTGGAATTCGAGTATGTTTTCAGGTTCTTGTTGTTGTTCTTCTTGATATTTATTTATTCAGTACATAAATGTCTGGGCAATTCAGTTCAGATAAGAGACTATCTTACCATTTGCAGGTAATAATATGGAGGAGCTTTTGGAAGCGATTCGCAATCCATTTTTCATAGTTTATATATCTGTTTTGCTGACGTTTTGTGTAGTAAGTTTTTCGCTTCTATTATAAAATTTGGGTAGTTTGATCCATTTTTGGGCTTTAAATCAGTTTTCTTTGCGCGTGGAGAGCCTTATTTATTGTTTTTCTTTATTTGTTTCTCAACTGTTACTCTTAGCGCATATCCTTATTGTATTTCTAGGCTTAATTTCATTTATTTCATCACTTCTTCTGAGCTTACTTCTTAAGTAAATTAGTGGGAAGTAGTATTCGATGTATTTGGTTGACATTGATGCTTATAATACATAAAAATAGGGATCAGGATCTTTCTTATTTGAAAAAAAAACAGACTGATATTGTTTTATGCACTATGCTGAATCTGCTTGAACTGCTGCGGATGTTTTAGG